ATGGTCACGCTGCAATCCCTTCTCCTCCATTCTCCTCTTGGGATCTTGGGCACGCACGCACATGCGCCCGGCGTGAGATTTAAGCCACTGGGTTCAAGACGCGAACCGCGGTCGACTATGTGGGAGTCCAGCGACATAGCCATTACGCTAACTGCTGGTTCCCAAAACTGCTTATTTTATGGAAGATAAAAAACCGTCTACAGTTAGGTTATTAGAAAAGTGGGACAGTGCCTTTTGACTACTTCCTTATGCTCAAAGATTTTCTTAGTGGACATGTTTTTTAATTATTTACTTTTATTTATTATTATTTACTTACTTTTACAGAATTTTTTAAAATTTAATTTTATTTATTCATTTATTTTAATTTGACCAGAGAGAGACACAGGGCGGAGGGGAGTGAGAAAACAAGCCACTGGATCTGGGATTCAAACTGTGGTTGGCCATGTGGGAGTGTCCAGTGCTTTAACCACCATGCCTCCTGCTTGTCCCCATATTTTTATTATTTTTAAAATTTTGACCAGAGAGAGACACAGAAAGAGGGAAAGTGAGAAAGCAAACCGTCTGCTCTGGGACTTAAACTGTGTTCTGCCATGTGGGAGTCCAGCACCTTAACCACCACACCACCTGCTGGCCTCTTTAGTGGACATTTTAGTAGTGAATTGTCAGAATTAAATGATTTATTCTGTGAATCTAAAGGTAAATTATGTTTTCCAACAAAAACAAGAAACAAAGCCTTTTACTTTTTATTTTTATTTATTTTTTGTTACAGGAGGAATGTGAGGGTGGAGTTTTTCTTTTTCTTTCTTTCTTTTTAAGTTTTGAAGTCAAAGTGATGGTTTCAGTTATAAAAGGACCCTCAGTGGTGATTAAGGCACTGGACTCTCACATGGCTGACCACAGTTCAAGTCCTGGACCTGGTGGCTTGCTTTCTCACTTTCCCTCTTTGTCTCTCTGGTCAAATTAAATAATAATAACACTAATGATAAATAAGATAAAATTATTATTATTATTTTTTAAACAGGAGCCCCTAATAATTTCTAAATTTTTAAAGTTTTTTTTTTCTTTTTTTTAAGTTTGACATAGGGTGCATATACTCACTGGAGAGAGACAGAAGGGGAAAGAGAGAGAGTGAGAAAGCACCCCCCAGGGGGTTTGGCCACGCCACAGTCCTTTTTCCTTTACCCTCCTCTTTGGATTTTGGGCATGGATGAACATGTGCCTATTATATTTTTCAAGCCACTGGGTCCAGGACTTGATCCACGAAGTCGGCCATGTGTGATCCAGCTGCCTTAATCACCCCACCACATTGGCTGACTCTTTTTAAAAAGTTTTTGAACACAATAAGTTATATTCTATTTATTGCATTTTTCACTTTAGTATTCTGAAGAAGCCAATAAAATCATGGAAGAATGTGAACAGGCTGAACGCCTTGGAGCAGTGGATGAATCTCTGAGGTCTGAATTTTTTCAGCAGTGTTTTCTGTTTCTTTCGTGTCACATATTAACTTAAAAAAATAAAATTGCACTACTTTCTTTGTTTGAAGCGAGGAAACGCAGAAGGCTGTTCTTCAGTGGACCAAGCATGATGATTCTTCAGACAACTTCTGTGAAGCTGATGGTATAACATATTTTATAGCATGCATTCTGTTTAAAGTTTTAATGAAAAAAATCTTATAAATCATTTTTAAAAATAATTACTTAATTTATTATTATTATTTTTTAAGTTTGCTGTAGGACACGTGTGCTTGCCAGAGAAAGGCAAAGAGAAAGAGAAAATGAGAAATCAAGCCACCTGGTCTGGGACCCAAACCATACTTGGCCCCATGGGAGTCTAGCGCCTCAAGCATCATGCCATCTACTGGCTCCTATAAATTATTTTTAAGACTCAGTTTGTAGCAGTTTGGTAGTTCCTCAAAAGCTAAACACAGAATTACCATATGACCTAGCAGTTTCATTCCTAGGCTTATACTTAAAAGTATTGAAAACCAAGACTCAGATAATCAGTGTTCATTGCAGCATAACTGATAGTCAAAAGGTAGAAACAGCCTGAGTGTCTTATCATCAGATGAACAGATTAAACAGTATGTGGTATAAACGTACAAGGGGACTTCAAAATATTCTTGAAAAAATGGAATTAAGGTGTGATTTTATTTTTGGTGCAAAATTGAAATCTGCACAAACAAAAACCAAAACAAAAAAAAAGAAGAGCACACTTTTGTTAAGGAATAAATAGTGTACGTAAACAGTAAGTGGAGTAAAGGAGGTATTTTTATATATCCCAATTAGAAATACCAACTTTTGTTATGTGGAAAATATGGTTATAATAATATTTAATTTTTTAGTTTACTTTTTTTTTTTTTTTTTTGCTAGCAGGTGTTGTGCTCACCAGAGAGAACAGACAGACAGAGGAGAGGAAAAATTACTGCCTATGGGGCAGGTCACCCTGTAAGCCTTTTTCCTCCATCTCTTCTTCCTTTTGGGATTTTGGGCTCACATACATATACACCTGGTGTGTTTCTTAGATCACTGGGTCCAGGACTGGAACTGCATTGTTGACCATGTGGGATCTGGCTGCCGTAACCACCAGGCCACAGAGCTAGCCCACATTAATTTATAAAGTTGAGATGAAGTATCAAGTAAAATTATGAGGCAACACATATTTATGTCTAATTAGGTGGAATATTTACATTATTTCATTGTGGTTAGTTTTTTGTCTTAAAATACTATACACTAAATTTATTTACATATTTTTAAAAATTAGGTTTTTTTGGGACCAGCAGTTAGCGTAATGGCTATGTCGCTGGTCTCCCATGTAGCCGACCACAGTTCGAGTCCCGGTGGCTTAAACTCACGCTGGGTGCTTGTGCTTGCGTGCCCAAGATCCCGAGAGGAGAATGGAGGAGAAGGGATTGTGGCATGGCCATCCCCCCTGGGGGTGTGATTTCTCGCTTTCTGTCTCCCTATCTCTCTCTGTCTTTCTGATGAGTGCACGCACCCTATAGCAAAAACCTTTCAAAAAAAAAGGAAAAAAAATTAGGGTTTTTCAAGTGAATCTGTTATAATTTGCTATACCTTGGTAACTACATTTAGTATTAATGGAAATGAACAGAGTTTTCTGAGTACTGATAGAAGTGAACAGTTATCTGTCCCTGAAATAGATGATTCCTTGCTAAGTTTTAAAAAGTGGCTATATTTTTCTGCTTTTTTTAAATAAAAAAAAATTTTTTTTTAGGTTTTGCCATAGGGTGTGCCCTTGTTGGAGAGAGACAGAGAGAAAGTGAGAAATCACCTCACCTGGGGGATAGCCATGCCACAATCCCCTCTTCTCTGGTCCCCTCTTGAGATTTTGGTTACTCATGCACACGAGCCCAGCATGATTTTCTAGCCACTGTGTCTGGGACTCGTACCACAGGTGGCCATGTGGGAGTCCAGCGCCTTAATCACCATTCCATCTGCTGTCCCCTTTTCTAATTGTCACTTCTGCAAGCCACTATTGTGCTGCTCCCTAACTTATGGCTCTGATATACTGCAAATAAGAGTAAAAATAACCTGGGGCCAACAGATGGCATAATGGTTACGTCTCTGAACTCCCATGTAGTTGACTGTGATTCCCAGCAGCCTAAAACTCACTTCAAGCGTGTGTGTGCATCCCAAATTCCTAAGAGGAGAATGGAAGAGGAAGGATTGTGGTGTTGCCATTCACCCTGGGTGGTAATTTCTTGCTTTCTGCCTATGGTGAGCACATGCACCCTATAGCAAAAATCTCAAAAAAAAAAAAAAAAGGAATAAAAATAAATAACCAAGCTTAGTTTCTGAGTTTTGTTTTTGTTGTGTTTTGTTGTTGTTGCTGTTCTTTTATTTGCTTTTTAGTAATAAGAAGCAGGTATGTTGAAAACTTTGGATTTCATGGGACTAGCAGTTGGCATAATGGCTATGTTGCTGGACTCCTTTGTGGTCCACCACAGTTTGAGTCCTGGTGCCCTATAGCAAAAACCTTTCAAAAAAAAAGGAAAAAAAATTAGGGTTTTTCAAGTGAATCTGTTATAATTTGCTATACCTTGGTAACTACATTTAGTATTAATGGAAATGAACAGAGTTTTCTGAGTACTGATAGAAGTGAACAGTTATCTGTCCCTGAAATAGATGATTCCTTGCTAAGTTTTAAAAAGTGGCTATATTTTTCTGCTTTTTTTAAATAAAAAAAAATTTTTTTTTAGGTTTTGCCATAGGGTGTGCCCTTGTTGGAGAGAGACAGAGAGAAAGTGAGAAATCACCTCACCTGGGGGATAGCCATGCCACAATCCCCTCTTCTCTGGTCCCCTCTTGAGATTTTGGTTACTCATGCACACGAGCCCAGCATGATTTTCTAGCCACTGTGTCTGGGACTCGTACCACAGGTGGCCATGTGGGAGTCCAGCGCCTTAATCACCATTCCATCTGCTGTCCCCTTTTCTAATTGTCACTTCTGCAAGCCACTATTGTGCTGCTCCCTAACTTATGGCTCTGATATACTGCAAATAAGAGTAAAAATAACCTGGGGCCAACAGATGGCATAATGGTTACGTCTCTGAACTCCCATGTAGTTGACTGTGATTCCCAGCAGCCTAAAACTCACTTCAAGCGTGTGTGTGCATCCCAAATTCCTAAGAGGAGAATGGAAGAGGAAGGATTGTGGTGTTGCCATTCACCCTGGGTGGTAATTTCTTGCTTTCTGCCTATGGTGAGCACATGCACCCTATAGCAAAAATCTCAAAAAAAAAAAAAAAAGGAATAAAAATAAATAACCAAGCTTAGTTTCTGAGTTTTGTTTTTGTTGTGTTTTGTTGTTGTTGCTGTTCTTTTATTTGCTTTTTAGTAATAAGAAGCAGGTATGTTGAAAACTTTGGATTTCATGGGACTAGCAGTTGGCATAATGGCTATGTTGCTGGACTCCTTTGTGGTCCACCACAGTTTGAGTCCTGGACCCAGTGGCTTAAACTCATGCTGGGCGTTTGCATGCGTGCCCAAGATTCTGAGAGGAGAATGGAGGAGAAGGGATTGCAGCGTGGCCATCCCCCCGGGGGGTGATTTCTCGCTTTCTGTTTCTCTGTCTTTTTGGTGAGCACATGCATCCTATAGCAAACACCACTTCAAAAAGAAAAGAAAAAAAGAATCAAAAAAGAAAAAAAAGAAAAAATTTTGGACTTCTTTGTAAGCCTTTTCATGTTCAAATTTTTGTCATGTACTTTGGTGGCTCTGAAACCATTTTTGCCCAATTCTTATCGTGTGTTGGTTTGTATTATTAAGCTTTATACATGGGTAAAGTATTGCTTTACTAATAAGTAATTCCTCAAAGCCACTGGAAGACTGGGGGGGCTTTGAAGTTGTCATGTATTGTGAATAATAAAGATGTAGTGGGGCCTGCATTCTAACCCAAGCATTCTGACTCCAGAGCCTAGGCTTCTAACTACTCTGCTATGTTGGGCATTTATTAGGAAAATAATTTCCATTGGGAAAGGCATGAAGTATTTGTCTGTTTTTCTATGCAAAAATGCATCATGGCTTTCCCAATGACCCAGTAGATTGCTTCTAGTTTTCCCTTTTATAGACAATGCTGGCACTAAATCATCCTATGTTTACTTTTGTGGATTTAAGTGTTATATCTTAGAACTGCTTGGTAGTGGATCCTAATGCTAGTCATCTAAGAAGAAAGTATTTGGTATCAAGCAATGTACATACTAAGATGTCCTCATTTTCTTTATAGTTACTGATGAACCGCAGTGGGTAATATGAATGGGAACACATTCTTTGTGGGTGTAGCTTATGAGGATTGAACTGCCGTGGTTTTTTTTTTTTTTTTTTGTTTTTTTGAGAGATTTTCGCTATAGGGCATGTGCACTCGCCAGACAGACAGAGAGAGACAGAGAGACAGAAAGCGAGAAATCACCCCCGAGGGGGTATGGTCACGCCGCAATCCCTTCTCCTCCATTCTCCTCTCGGGATCTTGGGCATGCATGCACACGTGCCTAGTATGAGTTTTAAGCCACCGGGTCCGGGACGCTAACTGCGGTCGACTACGTGGGAATCCAGCGACATAGCCATTACGCTAACTGCTGGTTCCCCTGCTGTGGTTTTTGATCTTAAAATTCACATATTTCTATTTTTAACATTTCTAAAGGCAGAGTATTTTTACAACCAATGTTGTTAATGTGGCTGTATTTATATCTTTTTCTTCTGAAAAGTTGATTTACAATCCCTAATGTATTGTTTGATTTTGATACTTTACAACCAATAGAATATAGTCTTGTATACTAACTTTTTAAGGTAACTGAAGGTAAGAAGGAGTTAATAAATCATTTTATTTTACAGATATTCAGTCCCCTGATGCAGAGTATGTAGATTTGCTCCTTAATCCTGAGCGCTATACGGGTTATAAGGGACCAGATGCTTGGAAGATATGGAATGTCATCTATGAAGAAAACTGTTTTAAGTATGTGCCATCTTCATTTAGAAGTTCCTTTAAGATATAATAGTTGATTTCCCTTTATACAGGAATAAAGTCATAATGATTTAAAATTATAAATCAAATTCACTTTTAAGAGATATATTTGGTCAGAGAAGCATACCTAGTCATTAATCCATTTTCTTTTTTTTTATTATTTATTTTGCATACAATCACTGAACATCACCACAGCATACAAGATGCAGGTTTTCCATCCAGAATACACTGCATCACGGCTTAGTCATACATGTTATCATCACAAATAATTTTCCATTTCTTGTTTCATATATATATATATGTGAATATATATATATATATTCCCCCTCCCCATTTGTCACCCTCTGCCATATCTCACCCTCCTCCCATTCTGTCTCTGGTATCTGCAGTTGTTTTCCTTTCCTTTTTGTTTCCCTCCCACATTTTATTGGTTAACGAAATATCTTAATTGATCTAACTACTTTCAATAGCAAGTTCAGCTGATATATAAATATCTGTGAACAGATGTTTGACTTTAGGCATGAAACTGTGAGTAGAATGAATACACTATAAAATAGCACCTAGCTGAGGCTATGTAGCTTACTGTGGTCATCAAATAAGTATTTTTTAATATGTTTTTTGATTTCAAGAAAGGCAGTTTTAGCTTTAATAAATCACTTGTTCTTAGCAGCATTGGAGAAATCTTCTGAAGGCCTGCCCCTTGCCTTTCCTAGAGGGGAGGGGGAAAGGGGATTATTAGCAAGATAAAGGAGGATCTGAAAGCCAAGAGAATACCTTAAAATTTTTTTAAAAGGAAAAATTACATAAAAAGAAAAGATAGAACAAGAGAGAGAGAGAGAGAGAGAGAGAGAGAGAGAGAGAGAGAGAGGATAGAGGGGTGCCCTACCACTCGAGACTTGGGGCTGGAGACTGAATTATCAGTAGAAAATCTTCATTTCTCTTAATCCCTGAAATCACTAGTTCTCAGCAGCAATGAAGGAGTCTTCTTCCATTAATCTGTTTCACTCTGGGACACATACTAGGGTCTTTGGACAGTTCATGGAATATGCATAGTGTGGAAAACTGCATGGATTCCAAAATTCTTTTACACAAAAATAAGAAACGTGTAATTTAATTCATTTTTCCCAACAAACTTTTCTTTCTTTCTTTTTTTTTTTTTTTTGAGAGGTTTTTGCTATAGGGCGCTTGTGCTCACCAGACAGACAGAAAGAGACGGAGAGACAGAAAGTGAGAAATCACCCCCCAGGGAGGATGGTCATGCCACAATCCCTTCTCCTCCATTCTCCTCTTGGGATCTTGGGCACACACGCACACGTGCCCGGTGTGAGTTTTAAGCCACCGGGTCCTGGACGTGAACTGTGGTCGGCTACATGGGAGTCCAGTGACATAGCCATTATGCTAACTACTGGTCCCACAAACTTTTCTTTTTTTTGGAGAGGTTTTTGTAAAAGGACACGTGCACTTGCCAGAAAGACAGAGAGAGACAGAGAGACAGAAAGCCAGAAATCACACCCCCCAGAGGGGATGGACATGCCACAATTCCTTCTCCTCTGTTCTGCTCTTGGGATCTTGGGCACGCACGCACATGTTTGACATGAGTTTAAGCCACCAGGTCCGGGACTTGAACTGCGGTCAACTACATGGGAGTTCAGCGACATAGCCATTACACTAACTGCTGGCTCCCCCTCCCCACAAACTTTTCAAAGAGCCATCATATAGACTTGCATTTCAACAAAAATTTCTTTTCTCTTTAAAAGACTGAGGATAGGGGCCGGCAGGTGGCATGGCAGTTAAAGGCACTGAACTCCCATATGGCTCTCCGTGGCTTGAGTCCTGGAGCTGACGATGTGCTCTCCCCCCCCCCCACTCCCCCACTCTGTCCCTCTTTGGTCAATTAAAATAAATAAATAAATACGTTAAAAAAAAAAAGACTGAGAATAGCTTTAGACATTTATGAGGATAGTGTAGGCACCCAAGGAAAGTTCTCTGAGTAGATTATAGAATCTCATCGTATAGATAAGTAACGAATAGCCAGAGAGGTTTACTTCATTTCCCATGATCATACAGTTAGTGGCAGGGATATAGATTAGAATCTATAACTCTGAACTCTCTTTCTGGTGCCCCAGAATCCTCTTTCTGTGGCTTTAGTTATTTTGCCTGCTTTAAAATTAAGGTTAGGGACCAGCAGTTAGCGTAATGACTATGTTGCTGGACTCCCATGTAGTCGACCGTGATTCGAGTCCCGGACCCAGCGGCTTAAACTCACGCTGGGCGCGTGTGCGTGCGTGCCCAAGATCCCAAGAGGAGAATGGAGGAGAAGGGATTGCGGTGTGGCCATCCCCCCTGGGGCGTGATTTCTCACTTTCTATCTCTCTGTCTCTCTCTCTCTGTCTGTCTGGCGAGCATATGCGCCCTATAGCAAAAATCTCTCCAAAAAAAAAAAAAAGAAATAAAATAAAATTAAATTAAGGTTAAATCAGAACCAGCAGATGGCATAATGGTTATATTGCTAGACTCCCAAGTATCTGCATATAGTTTGAATCCCAGACCTGGCCGCTTAAAACTCATGCCAGTTATGTGTACATGTGTGCCCAAAATCCCCAGAAGAGAATGGAGGAGAAGGGATTGTGGTGTGACCAGCCCCCCCGGAGGGAGCTTTCTCGCTTTCTGTCTCTGTTTCTTCAGCAAGCACACACGCCCTATAGTAAAAATCTCTCTCTAGAAAAATAGAAATAGAGACCAGTAGATGGCGTGATGGTTACATTGCTGGACTCCCATGTAATCAGCTGTGGTTCGTGTCCCAGACCCCGCAGCTTGAACCGCATGCAGGGCATGTTGTGTGTGCATGCCCAAAATCCTGAAAGGAGAATGGAGGAGAGGGTGTTGGGGTGTGGCTGTCACCCCGGGGGTTGATTTCTTGCTTTCTGTCTCTCTGTCTCTCTGAAGAGGGCACATGCCCTATAGCAAAATTCTTTCTAAAATAAAAAAATAAAATTAAGTTTAAATTGATTTCAGAGAATGACTATAGTAGTTAGCATTTTTTATCATTCACTGTATGCCAGACATGGTGTTAAACATATATCCATCTTCTCCTTCATTCCTTGAGGTGGTCCTGTGTTGGAGTCATCACTTTACTTTTTTAGAGAGATTTTTTTTGTTATGGGGCATGTGTGCTTTCTAGAGAGCCAGAGAGTGAGAAAGAGAAATTACCCCCCAGGGGGATGGCCATACCGCAATGCCTTCTCCTCCGTTCTCCTCTCTGGTTTTTGGGCACGTACGCACATGTGCCCGGCATGAATTTTAAGCCCCCTGGTCTGGGACTTTAACTGTGGTTAAGTATGTGGGAGTCCAGTAATGTAATCATTGCACCATCTGCTGGTCCCAGGAGTCATCACAGATGGAGGAACAGGTTAAGTGATTGGGTCATTTGTATATTTATTTATTTATCTGCTATAGCGCATGTGTGCATTCACCATAGACAGAGTGAGCGAGAGGAAGTGAGAAAGCACCCCCTCAGTGAGGAATGGATATGCTGCAGTTCCTTCTCTTCTCTTCTCCTCTTGGGATTTTGGACACACATACACACATGTCCAATGTGTTTTTAAAGCCTCTAGGTGTCTGGGACTCAAACTGCGCAGTTGGCCATGTAGGATCTAGCTGCCTGAGAGGTTAAGTGATTTGTTCATTGTCAAAGACCGAGTAAGTGGAAGAGCCCTATTTATACATTCAACAACTACAGTGAAAGTAGTCAAGCTGTTCCTTGGGTGACTGAGAAATGCTTCAGGTTGGAAGCTTCATTATTGTAGACAGTGTGCTTTTGGTTTTTGGAAAGAATTTTGTGTGTGTCTCTGTGTGTTATACTGTCTCAAAGACTGAAGGGAATTCTGGGAAAATAATTGGAAATCCTAAATATGGAGATAATAAATTTAAGTTTTACTTTTTTATTTTTCCCCCCGAGAGATATTTGCTATACGGTGCATGCACTTACCAGAGAGACAGAGACAGAAAGCTAGAAATCAGCCCTCCAGGAGGATGGCCATGCTGCAATCCTCCTCGTCCATTCTTCTCTGAGGATTTTGGGCACACATGCACATGCGCCCCGGCATGAGTTTTAAGTTGCCGGGGCTGGAACTCTAACCGCGGTTTGTCATGTGGGAGTCCAGTGCTTTAATTACTATGCCTCCTGCTGGCCCCTGAATTTTACTTTTTTGTTTTTGTTTTTGTTTTTCCATTTCATCTTTTTTTTTTTTAATTTATATTATTGTCATAATCTTCTTTATATTACATTGGATTACATATAACTTTACATTGACTTCCATTGCTTTTTCAAAAGGGAATGCAATGCATGTCGGTCAATACAGAGACATCAATCTCCCCACTTTATAATTCAATGTCTTTTCCATGTATTTCCCAATAATTATTATTATTATAATTTTTTTAAAAACAGTCAATCACTATTTCTCATTTTGCTTGTTAAAAGACTTCACCCATCATGAAATACTTCCCAGACCAGTCCAGTTGAGAATATTATACATGTCATCATCAACAGATAATAAACCATATCTGTTTCTCACTAACATCCTCTCTATTGTTCACTTGCTATCTTTCTCTATCCTCTTCTCTCTCTTTTTTTTTTTATAGTTTATTTTTTTTTATTATTATTATATTTTTTTTCCCATCACAACACACAAATGAATTTTCC